ATTTACTTATTTTTAATTTTTATTTCTACTTAAATGAAAATTGCGAAAAGTTATTTTTTAATTTTTTAATTTTTTTTCTTTAAAAAAAAAGTCTATTCAATTATAGATTTAAGATGGTACCTCCATTTCCAGAGTAAAGTAATTCTGTTTATGCAATTAAATTCAAAGTGATAAAAATATTTTACAATATTCTTTTTTTTTTTTTACAATTGGAAAGAACTTTATGTAATAACATTTTTTAGGAAATTGTCTCAAATATTTTATCAATTTACAACAAACAGCTGGACAGTGAACAACTGGAAACACTTTGTCAAAAAAGAGGTTCAAGCAATCCTTTATGGCTAACGTTGGCTTGCGAAGAATTACGTGTTTTTGGTACATTTGAATTATTGAAGGACAAAATTGTTAATTTACCTGATGATTTGATCAAGTAAGACCCTGAATCATTAAAATTTATTTTTTTACTCAGGAAAGCTTATTATGAAATATGACTTTATACAATAATATGTTTCTCAAATAAGTTTTATAAATTGTATGTAACTTTATTTAAATAAAGTTTTGAATATATTTTTTATTTTTTATATTTCATATAAAATTGTTTCCACTATTGCAGAAAATAGAAATACAAGTTATAAAAAACATTATGCAATTTTTTAATATGCTATATAGTTATGTAATTAATTATGTATTTAATATAGATATTATATTTTTATTAAATATTTAATTTAAACTACATAATTTTATAAAATGAATAATAAGTGTACATTGATATAGAGTTAATTATGCTGAAAAACTAAAAGTATTAAGTAATTGATTTAATTTTAAATGTAAAAAAAAAAAAACATTTAAAAATTTAAAAATATATTTATTTAAATTGGTAAAAATTGTAGAAATTTTTTTTTTTTTCAAGCTTAGAGACAGAAGTGTTTACTCGTTTTGAATCAGAAACTGGAGGTGTACTAATGAAAGCTACTCTTTGTTTGTTAGAAGTCTCTAGACATGGTTTGTTAGAAACGGAGTTATTAGCACTACTTGGCGATTCAAAGAATATACAATGCACAGAGTATATTGAGGTTAGTTTATTTCTTATATATATTTATAGGGTGCCATTGAAATAAACCCTTGCTTAATGTAAATTTATAATTTTTCAGTTTTTGTACAAAAAAAAACTGAAAAAAGTTTTTATACAAAAAAAGAATGAAATAAATGCTATCATATTTTACAAAGTTTTTTTTTGGTAATTCAGAATGTACGCCAACAGTTTCGTATTTAATTTTCATGAAAACTTTTTGCTTACATAAATTCCTAAAATACAATCCTTACATTACCTTGCATAACTACTGAATTGCTTAAAGCAGAACATATTAATAAAAAATGAAGTTGATTGTAAATTTCAGGTTTGTAAAACTAAAATTAGTAATATTCAAATATTGAAAAACTTTGTATATTACTTTTTGAATTTAAGAGCTAAACTGTTTTCTTTTTCTAAAAAAACAGTTTCTTAAACATTGAAGTGGTATTTTTTGTTTATCCTCAAAAAATATTTTATAAATGTCAAAAGTATTTGTTGTGTTTATTTTCTGGTTTCTCTTAATAAGATGTATAAAGAAAAAATTCTTCTGCTGTTTTTTACTTATTATTGTTGTTATTGGGACTCTTTTTTGTTAAAATAAAAATAAAAAAAATTGAATTTATTTATAACAGTTATTGTTAACATAAAGGGAGAAGATGACAAAATAATGGAAGCTACAGAAAAAATGAATATCCAATCAGCTATCACTTTAGACACAGAGAAGCATGAAGTTGAACAATTAACTGATATGTTTTCCAAGCAAGTAGAGGATACATACAAAGTAAAAGAAACCAAGGAAAATGACACTAAAAGTATAATGACTTTTGATTGATTTTATTTTACCTTTGATTTTGAATTATTTTTTCAAAGAATAATATATATATATATATATATATATATATATATATATATATATATATATATATATATATATATATATATATATATATATATATATATATATGTATATATATATATATATGTATATATATATATATATACACACACACACACACACACACACACATATATATATATATATATATATATATATATTATATATATATATATATATATATATATATATACATAAATATACATAAATATTATTTTGATCTTGCCGCCCTATAATTTTTACATTTTTAAGTAAAGGAGCCTTACTTTTTTTGGTGAAGTGGTTACTTCTAACTAATTGTTAAAGTTGTCGCAGATTTGAATTAAAATATACCATTTTGAAGCAAAATGGAAGTTTTCTAATTTTTAGTATACAAATCTCTGGTACAATTTAAGTTTTTTTACTTAATTTTTTTTTACATAATTCTGATTTGAAGAGGTTTTTTGGTATAAAGAGAGTAGTATAAATAAGTTTAAGAATCATGTATGCTATTTGGGAAGGGGTGCAATCACTTATTTTACACAACTTAAGATTTTTTTTTTCAGTAAAACTCTTCGTTTTTGGTGAAGTGGTGTCTCTGTTGAGAACTACTTCAATACCATCTGAAGTCCACTCAAGGAATCTCTCAGAGTCTATTTAGCATATTTTGGACTGATTTGAAATATAATGTAACCCATTCTAAACACTAATTAAGATAAGTTAAAATTCAAATATATATTGTTTGTTAAACACGTTAAGTCAAAAATTTAAATATTAAGTTTAAAATATAAAGTAAATTCAAATTTCAACAAAAAGCTGATGTTTTATTAACATTTAAATCTGTGTACAAGAAAATCGAATATCTGTACAATATAAAAAACTTATCTATTAAATTGAAATTAGAAGAAATAGACAATCCAATCATAATTTTATATGCCATCTGATTCTGATCTGATTGGTTTGAAAGCCTTTTTTTTTTGTATGGGTAACATGTTTCAGTTGTTTTCTACTACTTGCATAATGTTCTAGTATGTATTTTTTTTTAGCAGTTTCCACAAAGTCTCTACAAAGCTTTTCTCCATGTTCAGCCTAGTTGTTTATGCCATATAAATATGAAATCAAATTTTTTGAAGCTAGAAAACTTTTTTTTTTTGTTTGTGATTCTGTTATCGGTTCCCAGAGAAAACTACTTTTTATATTTGATATGGTGAAAAATACTAGGGAGTCTTCACCAATAATTAAATTGTTGTGTATCACAAATTGTGTCTTCACCAATAAATTCACATTATTCACAGCCATTATAGGAAGTATTTTAAATATAGGTTTACCGAAACTCAACCTTTTTATTTTTGAAGTTATTTCATTTGTTGTCACATACTTTTTTAGCAGTGGTGCAATCTTTTGCCTCTGTTTGTCCTCTAAATTGTTATTAAAAGAGACGGCAGAGCCAACTCCTCAGCAAGATACCGCACGTGATTGCTAAAAATTTTCAGAACAACATTAGTGATAGTTAAATCAATAGCTTTATACTCTAATAAGATTTAAATTGTAGCTTAGTTGTCTAGCAAAAAACTGATCCTTTAGCTAGCTGACTTGTTTTCTTGTTCCACAAGTTTTATAGAGTATTACAGTTTTGACAAATTCACAATATTATGATGTAATATGATGTCATAAATAATAAATTATTTATTAGTTCCTAATATTACGTCAATTGAGAACTTGCACAGATTTTATTTTATAGCTACCTGAAAGAAAAATAGGAATTCTTATCTAACGTTTTATTGTCAGGGGAACCTATTAATTTGCTATCCCAATAAACTATACCAACTTTTAGAGATTTCCAGGAACTTTTTATCATAGTAGCGATTGCCAGATCTATCTTGTTCCAAATGACTTTAAGTAAAAAATGAAAGAATAAAAGTATTGACTCTACACTAAAGAGAAAGTAAAATTAATAAAATGAAACAAAAAATTTAAACGCACACATGCACACGCGCATACACATTACCTGTATGCTGTAGTGAAGCTCGAGTTAACTCAAGAAGAACCACCAGTTGTAGCCCAAAATATTGAATGAAATGAAGAACTGAGTGCAATAGGTGTAATCTTGTTCCTAACAGCTGTTTCGATAGTTTTAGTTGTATTTAGAATATTATGTGGTATAAATTTTTTTTAAGGTGAGGATGCTGCTAAGATTGATACCTACATTCAAGTTTACATCAGACAAACTTCCTTTTTTTTCATTAAATTTTTGTTAGAACATCTCATGATATTTGATTGCTGTTCTTTTTCTTTATAAATTCTTTCTTTAGCAATTTGTCTGTCATGACACTTTTTGTTAAAGATTAACTGAGCCCATGGATGCCTTCCTTTTAGTCATCATGCTGATTAGAAACTGTTTATCTTCTGCATTAACCAATTTATCTAGTACACTTTGTGACCAAAACCTCATTGTTTTTGTAATCTTTTCTTTACACCCAATAACTTTATGGGTCTTGTCAGTGTTTCTTTGGGTATGATCAATTTCAGCAGGCTTTTTAACTCATCAAATAATTTCATGATTTCCTCTGCCATTTTATTAGGTTCAATTGTTTGTATTCTTGCTTAATTATAAAATGTTAAAGTTGTTTTAACTGTTTCATTTGCAGCCTTAAATTTAGTTTTTGTGGTAAAGTGCGCAAGAAAACATAAAAGCACTTAATGTATAATTGGTAGCCTGGATTCTTGTATATCTTGTAGAAACTATACCTATTAAATCTGACAGATTTAATAAGTATAGTTTCTAGTATGAAATATCTTTGTTATTTTGATTTTGCCTCTTTGGAACATCTAACTTGTCATTATTTTAATTTTTAAATACTAAAAAAAAAGATTTGAATAGGTCAATAGTGTGCCTGTAAAATGTGCCACAAACAACAGCACAAATTTTAAAAAACAAACAAAAAAAGTTTTGGATTGTTAAACCATTTATTTTATTCAAAGAAATATCTTTTCATATTTTCTGTAAGAATAGTATAAAGGAAGAAGAACATTATTTAATATAATAATACAATTAACATTCTAGTAGGTTTCTGCTTGTAATTACAAGTTTCTCCTGATCATAGAGAATTTTTAAAACTTTAGTCAATCTTGTAACTTTAATTGATAAGACTGCTGCCACTAAACATTATCTATTTTTTTTTAAATTTCAGATTTTTACGATTTATTATGAACATCACCCTCCAAAAAAGTCAGGCTTAATCAGAACACATAAGGGTAGGTATATATATATATATATATATAATATATATATATATATATATATATATATATATATATATGATATATATATATATATATAGTCTTGCATGGTAGTCACAAAGTTTTTCCCATAAACTGTTGTTTTAAAGAGCGCGTTAATAAGCCTGACCAGAAAATGTTAAAAATCTTCAAAAAAAAATTTTTTTCTTTTAAATGATAGACTGCCTGCCCAAACCAAACCTTCAGTCGATGTAGCAGCACTCCCTTGCGAGTCAAGCTATTTGTCAGTCGATGTAGCTGCACTCCCTTGCAAGTCAGGCTGTAAGATAGTCGATGTAGCAACACTCCCTTGTAGCAGCAGGCTATAAGATAGTCGATGTAGCAACACTTACGCATGTTTTAAAAATGTTTTTTAATAAAACAAAAACAAAAACACTACTAATTAAAAAAAACTTTCTAGTCATTATTATTGCGGTTTTTTTAAAAAACAATAAAATTTAATGTACTTCCGCATTAATTTAATTGCTTTGACATTTCGATGACAATCAAATACAGCTTAAGAGACGAGGTAATAAAAATAGTTGTCAAAAGAAACTTTTTTTAGCATAAAAGTCTCTTTTGACTACACTATAAGGATATATATATATATATATATATATATATATATATATATATATATATATATATATATATATATATATATATATATTTGGATGTCCCAAATATCAACATTTTTTAAAAATCTATGCTGCCACCCCCTTAATGTGTTCTATATGATAAAATAACACTGGATTTAAAAATTTTTTGAATAAAAAATATTTTTAGGGGTCCCCTAAGACCCTTGAACATTTAATGGGTCCCTAATAATAATGAGAAAAAAGTTTTTCAAATGTCCGTCTTGTTGGGTCTCAAAAGAAGCAAATTATATAAAAATTCAAAAATAATGATCATTTCATAAAAAAAAATTATTATAGATTTTATTGAACAGAAAATGACATTTTAAAACGAAAAACGAAAAATAGGGAATTTAACAAGATTTTTTGATTATAATTTTTTTTTATCAAATTTTTTTTATAAAAAAATGATAATTTTTAAAATATATATATATGTATATATATATATATATATATATATATATATATAATATATATATATATATATATGTATATACGTGTGTGTATGTATATATGTATTTATAATTTATTCAAGAATATTAATATAGATATAATTTATTTAGAAGTATATATATTTTTTTAAGCGCAAGTATCAAGACAGAAAGGCAAACAGGTTAAGTTTTTGCCCGCCAGAGATTGGGCTATTATCTATAGAAACTTAAAACCATTACTGCGACCATGTGGTGATCTTGGAGAAGGACGGCTAGACTTTTATCACCGTTCTTTAAGTAAAGCTGTTCGAAAAAAGTAATTTGTTGTTTATTATGTATTTAGATATAATGATTTACACAAACACACATATAGATATAATAGTTTACACAAACACACACACACACATATAGACAGATATATAGGTATAGATATGTTTAACCACGGCTTAATCACTCATTTATATTTATTGTGTTGCTTCTTTTATAATTTCATTTATAAATAAAAAAATGACATTATGGAAAACTCTCTAATTTGCACAGATGAAAATTTGTGCAAATAAGACTGTTAAATAATACATATATACATATGTATATATACCAGTATATATACATATGTATATACCAGTAGATTTTAGTTATGCAATCGAAATCTGTGCCATGCTATTCAGTTTATTCAACGTTAGTCTAGTGAAGTTCCTTTCCTTTTTATTCAGAATACTTTAATGCAATTTTTTTTTAAATAAAATAGTTTCAATTCAATATTGTATATTTAAGTGATGCTTTTTTTTACAATTTGACAGTGACTGTTTTGATATTTTAACAATTTAAATGCAATAAAAAAATTGTTGCATTACGAGTAACTTTTAATTGTTGTTCTTTTTTAAAGTTTTTATTTAACGCAAAAACTTTCAATAAATTTAAAAATTAATTTTCAATGATAATTTTTAATGCTCGAAACTATTATTCCATATCTTTCTATAAATCTTTAAAAAAAAATTTTTTTAAGTTTTTTTTATTTTAAATTGTGAATAAGATAAATTAAATCTTCCCATGATTTAATTGCTTTATTTTTTATTTTCTTTAGTTTCTTTTTTTTCAAAGAATTGTTTAAAAGTTTTTTTTTAAACTTGAATTAAAACATTAAATCAAAGCATGAAATAATTAAAAATTACTATTTTAAATCAAAGCATGAAATAATTTCTTGTATTTTGTATATAATTTCTGATATTTTGTAAAAATTACTATTTTAAATCAAAGCATGAAATAATTTCTTGTATTTTGTATATAATTTCTGATATTTTGTATTAATTTCTGATATTCTGATAATTAAAAATTACTATTTTAAATCAAAGTATGAAATAATTTCTGATCATATTGACTAAGCCCTCTCTCTTTATCCATCAGCCAATATTGTTGTTGTTGGTGACTTTAATGTTCATCACACTGAATGAGTTGGCTTTAGTGTCAGTGACTCTGCAGACATTAAAGCCCACAACTTTTGCTTTTTTTAATCCCTAACTCAAATATTCAACTTTCCAATTCGCTTACCAGACAACCCAAATCATTTACCTTCTCTACTCCACTTATCTCTTGTTTCTGATCCTAGTCAGTGCTCAGTTTCTCCACATTTACCCTTAGGTGCCTCCAATCATAGGTTGATCTCTCTAAAACTATTTTCTCATTCTTTATCATCATAATCCCCCTGTCATTGTACATCTTACAACTACCTTAAAGCTGACTGGGACTCTTTCCATGATTTTCTTCATGATGGCCCTTGGGTAGAAATCTTTTGTCTTCCTGTTGACAAATGTGCTTCTTACATAACTTCGTGGAATCAGGCTGGCATGGAATCCTTTATTTCCTCTCTACGATTCCAGGTCAAGCCTCACTCTTCTCCATAGTTTTCCTCACATTGTGCTGCTGCAATTGCCAATCAAAACCATTACTTCCATATCTATCAGCAAAACAATTCTCCAGAAAACAGACATTTGTTTATTAGTGCTAGGAACCATTGTAAAAAGATTTTGTCTAACTCCAAAGCCAGCTATTCTCAGGTCATGAAATCTCATATTTCATCAGAAAAATTAGGCTCTCGTGACTTCTGGAGAATCTTTAATAGTATCAATAATAAGGGAAAGTCTGTAATTTCACCTCTTTTGTATGGTTCAGACCTCACCTAAAGACAAAGCTGAATTATTTGCTAAGAACTTTTCATCAATATCCTCTCTTGATTCCACTAGTTGCGTTCTACCTGATATAGCAGTCAAACAGGTTGATCCATTGCTTGACATCCATATCACTCCAGCTTCTGTATCTAAAGTGATTTCCTGCTGACAAGTGCTTATCAGAGTCTTGTTTTCCAGCCTGCTAGAAAGCAGCATCTGTTATCCCTAGCCATTTGTTTTGTCTAACTACCGTCCTATTACTCTCCTTTCAATCATAAGCAAGGTTTTTGAATCTTTAATTAACAAACACTTAATATCTTATCTTGAATCTAATGACTTTCTGATCATCACTATGGATTTCGATCTTCTCGTTCTACAGCTGATTTGCTAACAGTAATAACCGATAGGTTTTATTGTGCGTTAGATAAAGGTGGAGAGGTTAAGGCCATCTCTCTTTACATTTCTAAAGCGTTTGGCATGCTCGTCTTCTCCATAGGATTTCTTCTTACAGTGTATCTGGAAACATCTTTAAGATTATTGAATCTTTCCTTTCGAATTGTAGTATAAAAGTTGTCCTTGAGGGGCAGCACTCTTCTTTTTATTTTGTAACCTCAGGGGTTCCACAAGGTTCAATATATTCTTTTTAATTTACAATAACAATAATTTCAATAATTTAAATAAAATTTATTCATTTATTAAACAATATATAGAAGTAATTTGTAAAAGCGTTTTGCATAACTCTAATAAAACATTTCAAAAGATAAGTTTTAAAGTAATTATTTTCAAATGCAATTAAAAATGTAACAAAAAAAATTTTTACTTCGAATTTTTTGAGTTTTATTTTAAAGCTAATTTATTTTCTTTTTCATAAGGAATTGTTTTGTTTGTTCTTTTGTTATTTCAATAGAAAAGTATTTATTTTGTAGAACTGAATTCCTATTGGTCAAAATCTTCGATTACTTTTTAAATTGATTGGACAATCTGAGACTTTAGCCAAACAATGTCTGATGTCCAACCATTAAATTGAACCCTGGTATAAGTTGATTTTAAAAATTTAAACAATTTTGTAGTTTTAAAATCTCGCTTGAAACAAACTATTGAAACTTTTGTGTTATGTAGTGCAAAATATTTAATAGTTCAAAACTCAATTGCAACCAAATGGGTGAAGATGCAAGAATGATACTAATAAAAGTTTTTAAGAATGCATCTCTATGAAGCTTTTTAAATTTTAGTGGAATCATCTTGTTTTTGTATCTAGGGTCTCTTCTTTTTATTGGTATTACTTCTATCATTGTTTAAGTTTTACTTACATGATATTGATCTCTGGCAAAGATAAAAATATTTTATGCTTCAAAGTTACAAGGCAATTTGTTTGAATTGTAACAATTCACAGAAGCCTTTAGAGAAATTAAATTTAAAGTAAACAAATAAAATCTAGATATTTTTTTCTCAAAGTAAATTTTCTTTCTGCTACAAACTGAAACTAAAATGCTGGTCAGTTGTACCAAAATATTTTTAATTGCTAAAACCTAATGTTTTTGGTTGGCAAATAAAAAATCTTTTGCTAAGTCAGTTTTTTAAAATACCCAGAGTTTAAAAAAACTTTCTAAAGCATACATCATCTAATAGCAAAAGTAAATACCAGTTAAGTATTAGCTGAAAAGTTCATAATCTTATATGTCATTTTGTTTCTTTTGTTTCAGCATAGTTAGTATGATATTCTTGTATATGCTGAGCAGGTTAGAAAGAATCTATTGATAATTATTTGAAACTCAGAGATTATGTATATGCTGAGCAGGTTAGAAAGAATCTATTGATAATTATTTGAAACTCATAGATTATGTATATGCTGAGCAGGTTAGAAAGAATCTATTGATAATTATTTGAAACTCAGAGATTATGTAAACAACTATATAAAAGATATAGTCTTTTTTTTATTTTGCTATAGACATTAGTTTTTTGTTTTTTTAATTTTTTGTTAAATTTTCAACTATTTGTTATTATTAATCAAATATTATTCATTTTGTAACTCTGTGTAAATAATTTTATTTTTGTTGTTAAATTTCTTACAAGTTATAATTGTTGACTTTTTAAAGAGTTCTTTTTTAAAGAACAATAAAAATAAACATTTTTTTGTTTCTAATTTTTTCATGAGTTGTATAATATACATACATTAATGTGTTATTTAAACCTGCTTTACTTTTATTTATAAATAGAAGTTATTAAATATTGTTTAAATTGATCTTATGTATTTTAATGTACAAGATTAATTTCAACCAGCATATTATTATTTTAAGAATTACATTTAAAAGCTAGTTTAGATTTCGAAACTTTTTTGAAAGCACTTCACTAAATTCAATAACAATTAACCAAAGTTTTTTTATGACATAATGTATTGATCCTAGGTCTATAATAAGTACTGCCCATCAAGGTAATGTTTTCCAATGAAATACGTTATTTGCTTTTTTACACACTATTTTGACAGTCTGAAAAATCCAAGCAGAAAAGCGTTTTGTTAAAAGTTGGAAGTTTGTCTAAGCTTTATTGTCAATAATATTTTTTCAGGATTTGTGCAATGTCACTTTAGTTAAAAGTATTATTAACATTAATTGTGTTTTAAAGAATTCTCATTAACATAAAATTTGTATTTACAAAATAGTTTAATGCAGTATTTATAGATGTATAACCTAATATATACCTAAGCATATATCTAATGAAAATTTTTGCTTATTTAATTATGAATGATATCAATTTTTGATTACTAATTTTTTTATTTAGTATTTAAAATATTTTTTAAGATACTTTGAAGGCAGCGAAGGTTTTACAAAACATGTTTATAACTATTGGCACGGTGTTTTGGCAAGTTATTTTGAAAATATTGACGACATGGATAGAAAAGCAGAAGTATGCATTTATTTTACTACTTTGTTCTGCAAGGGGAAAAATGTTATTTGTTATTCCAATTTATTTACTAGAGGTAGTTTTTTAATTTTGTACGAGTAATTAATTGTTTTAAAATTTTAATACCTAGAAAGCCTGCAAGTCACTGTTAGTTATGTTGGAAGGCAAATACAAATAACAATTTTTTTGTGTAATTTATCTAAATATGTGACTTGTTTTTTTGGTTCTTGCTTTTTTCAGGGGGTTTCTAGAAATATCAAAAAAAATCATTTAAGCAACTAAATTTAACTTTAATGGCAAGATCTTTAATCATATTTTAATTTCAGATTCAATCAAGACCAAAATTGATTAAAATTCTTTTTATTTTGGTATGTTTAAAGGGATTCCAAAGTGCCAAGACAAGTTGTGTTCATTTTAATGAGAATGATAAAAAAGAAATCTTTGGGATCAATTTTTTTGAGTAAAGTAAAATAATAAAAGTATACTAAGAAAAACTTTGTTTTACTCGAAGCTTGCTGACTCCATGTTAGCCAGCTGCTTTAATTCTTTAAAATATACTCTGCAATCTTTAATTTTTTTGCAATGCAGACTTTATAATTTATTCAAGCCTTTAATTCCAAAGAGTTTTAGTATATGAAATCATTGAAGGATTTTTTTTTTTACATCAATTTTTTTTTTCGAATTAATATATTTTTGTTTTTGTTTTATTTGTTTTTTAAAATAAGCGTTTATCATCAATCCACTTTCCTATAAATTTAACTGAATAAATAAATTATGAATCAGATTAGGGAGACTAAGCATCAGACAGAAACATACTACATAAATGATTTTTTAGTTAAAGTATTTATGATATGCATAGATTGTTAAATTGTGCATTTTGTGAACTATTGCACAGGTTATGAAATGTTTAATTTTTATTGATGTTTTTTAAATAGTTATATTTACTATAAATAATATATATTCAAAATTGACTTGAATAGGGAATTGTGTAGTGGATTCTATATACATTGACTTATTACTTATGCCAAAAAAAACTAAAAAAAAAGTCAAAAAAGTACCAAAAAAAATAAAACAAAAAAAAACATGTTTTTTAGACTAAAAAATAAGCCAGAGGACAAAATACGAAGAAAAAATACACTTTTT